TGATGACCAGGGCTTTTACAGGCATCTCATTCATACTGATGCCAAACATTGGAGCTGATCTGATGGCAAATAACAATAATTATTAAAATGAGAGAGAAAAAAACCCCAAAGAAATATTAATAGGGGAGTTTTCTCAGCTATCAAGCTTACACACAAAAAAAAGGGGGACAATAAATTTCTAGCCAAATGGTCTCACAAGCAGACAGAATGTGATACTTTCTATAAGATCCAAGCATCATTAACCTGCCAATATTAAAGATTTTGGTAGTAGTCCAAGCTGTAAAAACTAAAAATAAAATAAAATTTAAAAATTGAGAACATAAAGTTCAAATGAGGCTAATTATCAACTTCCCCAGTGCATATCAATGTGGCCTTTTGGACATTTTATTAAAATTTAGACACATCCAAGGCAGATGAGTTGCAAGGACTGGAAAAATTCCTGACAAGTTACGGTACATTTACCTCTACTCATTAAAGAATGTAGGGACTTCATTCTCAGAGTTGTTATGAACTGACTAAAAAAAATTCTTGTAAGAAGGGAAATCTACTAGACCAAATAAATACTCTGCTGAATTTTGTAAAGTGTTTTGCAATTATTTACTACAGCATTTGAAAGCACTTTTAAAAAACACATTGAGTGAGAGACTCCTACAAAACTGGTCTTTCTTCTTTGTGGTCTCTGTGAATCACACAAATTGGTTATTCTGCGCCTGCACAGCAAACTTCGGAACCTTCTTAGAGCTTTTAGAAGCGTTTTGGTGGTAGCTCCGCCCGCTCTCCAACTGCCTTATTGGCCGGTTTCCCGCCTAAACCCTCAGTTCCTTTTATCCGCCACAGCAGCAGCATCTAGAGGAACTCTTCAGAGATTCATTTTCCTGTCACACTTTAAAATTGTCTTTTGACAGGATCTGTCTGCATTTTGGTGGTATTTTTTTTAACATTGTCGTTCATATTTTAAGAGGAATGCTGCGATTTCTCTGAGTATCACAGTCTTACATGCGACTTTAATTTCTGAGGTGAAGTTATTTCAATGACCACTGAGGTAAAATTTTTTCTAAAATGGCCGCTTGCCCTTTGGGTATGCTTGGCAAAGCTCCTTTATGCCCAAAATGGAGACTACCCCTGGAGGGAAACTGTTAAAATATCACCCGCCTCACTGGCATGCTTGATAAAGGCAATCTTTATTTATTTATTTATTTATTTTTATTATCAGAATAATTTTTACTGCTTGATATATATATGGCCGCTTGCCCTGCTTTGTGTTTGGCTACGGTCCATCATGCTTCTGAGGAGAAGTTTTTATGTGGTCGCTCACCTCTATGTTGCATGGCTAAAGCTTACCGCACTCCCAAGTCTAATTTATTGAATGACCATTCGCCTTGCTATAGCGCTTGGCAAAGGTTCATCCTTCTGAGGACTCGAGCTTATTCTGACCCCCCTCCAGGTCAAACAGACTGGCTCACAGCCCTACGTGGATCATCATCGGTCCTTGACTCTCCGGAGTCAAACCGACTGGCTTGGAGCCTTATGTGGATCATCATTGGTCCCTGACTCTCCGGAGTCAAACCGACTGGCTTGCAGCCCTACGTGGATCATCATCGGTCCCTGACTCTCCAAAGTCAAACCGACTGGGTTGGAGCCCTACGTGGATCATCATTGGTTCCTGACTCTTCAGAGTCAATCCGACTAGCTTGGAGCCCTACATGGATCATCATCGGTCCCTGATTCTCCGAAGTCAAACCGACTGGCTTGGAGCCCTACGTGGATCATCATCAGTCCCTGACTCTCCGGGGTCAAACCGACTGGCTTGGAGCCCTACGTGGACCATCATTGGTACCTGACTGTCTGGGGTCAAACTGACTGGCTTGGAGCCCGACTTTGA